CTGCTTGAAATATTAAAGATTGCATTACTAAGACAATCTTGGATGGTAAATTCAGTATTCCTCTTTTTTTGAAGTTACAACTCCACCCCTAATTTTTAAAATTTAAAGAAAATGCCTTAGAATTAGGGGGGAAAAAAAAAAAAAGCTCTGAGAAAGGAGTGTTTCATCTTTCAGGTTGAGTTTTTTTTTTTTTTCCTCCCTTCAATGTTAGCAGAGACCACATGTTAGGAGGACTATCGTACCCTCATGTTTTCAAAGTTCCTCCTTGAAAGTCATTAGTTTTCCATAGACCATAAGGAAAGTCGTTCAGTTCAAAGGAGCTGTCCAGGCAGAACACCCATAGATAAAATAAAAACATGTATACGGATGGCTGGGTCGATTTGCTATGCTCCTGAAACTATTACAGTATTGTTTAATTGGCTATACTTCAATATAAAATAAAAAGATTAAGTAAAAAAGTTTTTTTAATTTAAGTAAATTCTAAAAAATAAAAACATACTGTCTTTTTGCAGTAACAACAGCAGGGGACAAAACTGGAGCCTGTCCTAATTGGACAATTGAAAATCTCACATATGAGGGAGTTTGCTGCACTGTTTCTCCATGTTGTTTTTGTTTAGTCGCTCAGTCATGTCTAATTCTCTTACGACCCCATAGACTGTAGCCTGCCAGGCTCCTCTGTCCATGGGATTTCCCAGGCAAGAACACTGGAGAGGGTTGCCACTTCCTTCTCGAAGAGATCTTCCTGACCCAGGGATCAAACTCTCATCTCCTGCATTGGCAGGACGGTTCTTTACCACTGCACCCCCGGGGAAGCCCGTTTCTCCAGGTAATCACTCACTTGTTGAGTCTTTTCCTTCTGATAGTAATAGATTTCATAGTCTAGCCAAACCAATCCACCCGTTTTGAGTCCAATATTCTGCTTTACAAACTGGCTGCCAACATTAGGGGTGGAATCAGAAGTCATTTTCAACATAAAATCTTAAGACATGATCTCTTTGAAACCAAAGTCACTGGTCTTAGAAATGATGATATTTCATCCCTGCCAACACCTGAGGCGTGGATTCAGAAAGATGATTTGAGATTTCCTCAATATGACTTCTGTTAGAAACGGATTCTACTCTGCATTTTGTTAGTAGTATCCCAAGTATTACTAGTCTCTCAAAAACACTTTCAAAAACTTCAATGGGTATGACAGTGAGAAATTATGAATTTTTCTAAAGTATACAGCTACTTAATATGTCACTCTTTAGGGGGTTATTTCCTGATGAGTAGAAAGCTCCCTTGGCTGTTTCCCTTGACTGCCAGCAGGACTGATCTGTGTAAAAACAATCTTAACGTACTAAGCGTATTCACTTAACAACCTAATTGTCCCAGGTTCTAGAACCTCCCTGCAGGTTAAGCATGTCATACTCCAACAGAAACCAGCTCAATGGTGCCAAATGCTGCCACTATTATTTTCCCTGTTCATTCCCACAGAAGTTGGGTGTGGATTCTCTAGCTAAAGGCAGGACTCTAGCCCATGTTATATACCTGCAACAATGACAGGCATCATACCAAGAAATTTCCACACAACTACACTTGTGTGATGGACATTACTACCACTGTGCAGGTGAAGAAAATATTGAGGTCTCAACAGAATAGGAAACTTATCCAGGGTCACAAGACTTGAGAAGCCAGATTCGACATCTGAATATGCTCAGCCAAAAGCCCATGTTCTTCCCATCAGGAAATCCTCTTTTCCTTATTCCAAAACTGCTCCAAGAGTAACCTACACATTCTCGAAAATCAAATGGCGTGTAGTTCCCACTCCAGAGAACACCTTTAAATAGCTGAACACTTGGAAAGCATCTTGCTCTTATAATTTTGATTTTTTTTTCAGTCCAGTTAGAAAACCCCATTTGGTTCAATGGCTGTACAACATTTCCAGGAGACCTTCAATGTATCAGATCCTGTGCTAGACTCTGGGTGACAAAAATGAATCTCTGCTCCCAAGGAGCTCCCAGGTTAAGGAGCAGAACTGCATGTCCATGCATTAGTACCTTTCAGGCCATCAGTATTACAGATTGCATGCTCTGCTTAGCAACTGGCCTTGTTCTAACAATTAGAGGATTACTAATGTGTGTAACCCGCATCACATTAGGTAGTTATTATCAACCTCATTTTACACACGCGCAATCATACAAAGAAGTCCAGAAACTTGCTGAAGGTCACATGGGTGTAAGTAGCAGAGAAGGATTTGGACCTATTTGAATCCAGAACCCTGTTCTTGTTAGAAATATAAATTTTCAAGCCCCACTCAAGATCTGCCAAATCTGAATGTCTGCTTTTTTAAAACTGAACGATGATTATTTTACAATGCTGTGTTGGTTTCTGCCATACATCAGTATGATTAGCCATAAGTACACATATGTCCCCTCCTTCTTGAACCTCTCTCCCACCCTCCACCCCAAACATCTGATTTTAGCCATTCCTCCAGATTAATCTGAGATTTGCTAAAATTTGAGAACCACTGCTTTAAGCCATTGAGCAAGAAAAAGATCAGATAAGGAATTGTGTCAGTTCACTTTCTTCAGGGAAAAACAAACAAACAAACAAAAAAACACGAATGTCACTAACATCTGTTTTACAGCCTGGTTATTCAGCAGATGGAGCATGACAATTTTATCTCCCTTTCTTCCTTGCCTTGCCCAGCCACCATCCACATCCCCCTCAGCCCCACACCAAGGACACTTTGCCCCCTAAACCAATCCACCATTTTTTCCTCACCCTAAACACCAGTCAAACTTGAATGCCAGTAAGTGCAATTTTAGGGGTAGCTGGGAGCTATTGCTGGGTTAGATTAAGACTCCAGATTGTCATAAAAAGCAGATTTGGAATGTAGCTTTTCCTGGGTTGGTAATTATCCCTAAAGGCCAGGAAGAGCAAGAATACATTCAACCAAACTTTAAGAATGCTTAGATAGGGCTTCCGTAGGTAGAGTATCCACTCTAGGAATCTGCCTGCCAGTGCAGGAGACGCGGGTTCAATCCCTGGTACAGGAAGATCCCACATGCCTCGGAGCAACTAGAGCCTGTGCACCGCAGCTACTGATCCCATGCTCTAGAACCCAGGAGCCGCAACTACTGAGACCTCTGGCCCTAGAGCCCATGCTCTGCAAGAAGAGAGGCCACCGCAATGAGAAGCCCACGCACCACTCTGAGAGAGTAGCCCCTGCTCATGGCAACTAGAGAAAGCCCACGCAGCAACAAAGACCCAGTGTAGCAAAAAAATAATAATAACCTGTATCTTTAAAAAAAAATACTTAGATAAAAGTCTACTGGGGAACCTAAACACCATATTAAAAAGCAGAGACATTACTTTGCCAACAAAGTTCCATCTAGTCAAAGCTAGTGTTTTTCCAGTAGTCATGTATGGATGTGAGAGTTGGACTATAAAGAAAGCTGAGCGCCGAAGAATTGATGCTTTTGAACTGTGGTGTTGGAGAAGACGCTTGAGAGTCCCTTGGACTGCAAGGAGATCCAACCAGTCCATCCTAAAGGAGATCAGTCCTGGGTGTTCATTGGAAGGACTGATGTTGAAGCTGAAACTCCAATACTTTGGCTACCTGATTCAAAGACCTGACTCACTGGAAAAGACCCTGATGCTGGGAAATATTGAAGGTGGGAGGAGAAGTGGCCGACAGAGGATGAGATGGTTGGACATGAGTTTGAGTAAACTCCAGGAGTTGCTGATGGACAGGGAGGCCTGGCGTGCTGCAGTCCATGGGGTCTCAAAGAGTCGGACACGACAGAGAAACTGAACGGAACTGAACTAGGGAACTCAAGAAGTGAGGACACAGATTCTGTCAAAACAAAGGACATTCTCAGGCTCAGTAAATCAGTGGGTTTATTTCAGTTGTTTGAGAGACACAGGATTCGAGAGGGTCTATGCCAACCTCCTCATGCCATCTTCTGTCCACTATATCTTCCTCTTATGGAAACTGAAATAATCATGTGTTACTCATGGGCTCAGGTAATTTTGCTGATACAGCCAGTGTTCCTTGGGAAACTGTGACCCAAACTGACTTAAGCAAACGACTGACTGAGCAATCTCTCATGGCTCCTCTGTTACAGCCGGGTGAAATAAGGCCAAGAATGTGGAAGAGCAAGATATACCCGTAAATTTCTTTATTTGACTCTCAGTCTTAAAATATCATTTGTTTTAGAGTGGCCTGATTACTATGATGGTATCTCAGTTTGGTCTGGGCATTTACACGGAGGCAGATCAAAGGTGAAGACGTTCAGTTTCTTCCAGGACTGAAACATCCTTTTTACCCTCGTGGTTCTGACTTTGAAGAGGAGTGAATGACTAAGTGCTCACAGGCAGCAGTGCCTGAGCATGAATTGCCCTGGAACTACCACGTGGTGTGAGAGATGAGTGAATGTATGCATTGTGACCTCTTTTCCCAGCCTCAGTAGCTTACGCAGATCAAATCACATGTTAAAATGTAAGAAGCACTGAATGACGAGCAATAGATGCTCTTTCCTTGCACTTGGAGGCACGAATCCACATGTTATAAACATCTACTATCTTGGCAGTTTGTTTCTAATTTCAGCTGTCTTTTGTTTTTCATTCTACTATCAGAAAAGCGTGTGAAGTATCAAAGTGGACCCCCTTGATCAGAGGCCAACCAATGTGTCCTCAGATTGAGGACACATGCCGTATGCTAATATCACGACGCTTTTCTCTTCCTGGAATTTCGTCCTCACACCCTGTCCATTTAATCTTGCAGCTCACAAAAGACATCTTTCACTTTGAATTTTTTTTTTTTTAAGTGGGGGAGTCTTTCACTTTGAATACACTCTTACCTGGCGCTGCTGCTCCCGGTGTTTATCCTCACTTATTATGTCGATTACAAGCCAGTCATCATCCTCCAGGGAATTAGCTGCATCGTTTGCTGGCTGTTACTCTTGTTTGGCCAAGGAGTCAGGACTATGCAGGTGCTGGAATTCTTCTATGGGATGGTCACCACCACCGAGGTGGCCTACTATGCCTACATTTATTGCGTGGTCAGCCCGGAGCACCACCAGAAGGTGAGCGGCTACTGCAGGAGTGTGACGCTGGTGGCCTACATGGCAGCCTCCGTGCTGGCCCAGCTCTTGGTTTCCCTGGCTGGCCTGTCCTACTTTTACCTCAACATCATATCCTTGGCCTCTGTCTCCGTGGCCTTCCTCTTCTCACTTTTCCTACCCATGCCTAAGAAGAGTGTGTTCTTTCATGCAAAATCTAGCAAAGAAGCTCCTCCATAGCCAGCAGGTATGAAGTGAAAATACCTTCTGCCATATCAACAAACAAGAAATGTCACAGCCATTAGTGATTTCTAGCCTCCAAATGTGAATGAGGACTCCCAAAACTGAGATCCAGTGTATGCTGCCACCTTGCTGAGAAGCTAGGGGAATGCAAGAAGCAAGGTGAACAAGAAAACAGGATTGGCCCCAGATAGCTGAGGAGCATATGAAAGGAATGAATTCAGTGAGTCCAGAGACTTGCATCTTCCCATACATACAGTGCTAAATTCCTTAACTTGATACCTGATCTTTGATGTTCAGACTGCCTGCTCCATTTGTTGTAAACTTGTGTAGAGCCTGATTTCCCTCCTGCCATCTTGGAGCAGTTTCCTCAGAGCTACTGAGATGCTATCTCCCAGGCCCAGAGTCTGAAACGTTCTCACCAAATAAAATAACTACTTCAGATTGTGACTATATTATTTAGTCGACACAGGAAAGGATGCTGTCCCAGAGGAACATCAAAAAGATCACAAAGCAGTGGGAAAAGAAGTATTCACTGATTTCAGGAACCCCAGTGGTGGCTAGGCAACCAACCCAAAGCCATAAAATACAGCTCTGAGTGTGTCCACAGTAGTTCTAAGACTTGAATGAGTGTTACTCCTCTACTCATCATTTTTACTGATCCCAATCGGGTGCACTTTCTCCATAGCAGGTTTTAACCAAGTTTTGAACTATGTTCAAATCCTGTGAGATTTATAAGGCACCATCCCAGAGTTCCATGATACAATATGGAGCAATAGAAGCCCTTACAAACTGTGGGGATAAGTATAGTTTCTCTCTAGGGTTATCCATAGTTATTTTATATAATTATCCTATACATACCCCCAAAGGTAAACTATACTTACCCCCAAAGTTTGCAAGGGCTTCTACTGCTCCATTACATATTATGGAACTCTGGGAGGACCATATAGTCAAAGCTATGGTTTTTCCAGTAGTCATGTATGGATGTGAAAGCTGGACAATAAAAAAGGCTGAGTGCCAAAGAATTGATGCCTTCAAAGTGTGGTGCTGGAGAAGACTCTTGAGAGTCCCTTGGAGAGCAAGGAGATCAAACCATTAAATCCTAAAGGAAATAAATCCTGAATATTCATTGGAAAGACTGGTGCTGAAGCTCAAGCTCCAATACTTTGGCCACCTGATGTGAAGAACTGACTTATTGAAAAAGACCCTGATGCTGGGAATGATTGAAGACAGGAGGAGCGGAGGATGACAGAGGATGAGATGGTTGGTTGGCATCACTAACTCAATGAACATGAGTCTGAACGAACTCCAAGAGATGGTAAAGGACAGGGAAGCCTAGCATGCTTCAGTCCACGGGGTCATGAAGAGTTGGACACGATTGAGTGACTGAACAACAATCAATGTGCAAGAAATGTATTCTTTCAAATTGCATTCTTGGATAATCTTATAGTGATTTCAACATTGAATACCAGCGACTTTGAAAAATAAAAGAGTTTTGTCACAAAATGTAAAAGAGACAAGGAATATAACAAAATGTTTTGATGAAGCTATACATGAGTTTCACTCATCTCTAAAAACAGGGGCTGCAAATTGGTATCCCACTAGTCAAACACAGTTTGGCCATAGCTAGTTAGATGGTTCAAGGTCAAACTATCAAAACTCTTTCCTCTCTTTAATCTTTTGGTAGCTCTAATCTTTAACCTGTGATTTGCAAACCATTAATATGAGGTGGAAAATGATGGCCAATGGGCTACCATAGCTAACAGTTTTTACACCCTTAAAACACTGTAAGGGGGGCGAGACTTCCCTAGTAGTCCAGTAGTTGAGAATTCTCCTTTCAATTCAAGGGACGCGAGTTCGATCCCTGTCAGGGAACTAAGATCCCACAACTACTGAGCACTGCAACTAGTGAACCTGTGTGCCGCAACTAGGGAAGCCTGCGCATTGCAAACAAAGAAGAGCCTACAATGAAAGATCTTGCATGCCACAAGTAAGACCTGACACAGATTAGTTAATCAAAATAATAAAACATTGTAAGGGAGAAAAAAGAATATATGACAAGGGTCGTGAAAATAAATACATCCCATCTAACAGCCAAGTAAAAACAAAGAAAGATATGTGGCCCACAAGTCTGAAATACATACTACCTGACACTTTACAACATAAAGATCTTGAAATCAAGTTAATGGATTTCTAACCAGAATAGAATGGACTAGAGCATATCAACTTGTAAGGATGAATTCTGTATTGTGACAATTCAGTTTACACATGCATATGTACTAACATGGCTAACATGTAAAATATACTTCTTTCTAAGACTATTGTCCCAGAAGTTTGGAAGTTACTGGTCTAGGATCTATCTTATCATTTCAAAGATTCCCAGTTGAGACAACTGAAATAATTGTATCTTTCCCTCACTATACATTTAGGGATTTGCAGAAGTTTTTGCCCTCTGTTAAGACTATTTTCCACACCCAGCTATCCCCTTCCCTACCATATCCTGATGTATGCTAGAATAAAAGTGAATCCAGCCTGGATTCTAGTAAACTTCCCTGCAGTCTCCTCTCCACAACCAAGTTATTATGTTATCCCATATACTTGTCTCGCTGGCCTTTTACTCATGTAATACTTTCACTCAACTGTCATTAGTAAGAACAAAGACACAGTTGCCCTTAGCAAATAAACAGCAATTCTTGATTTTTGGTGAAAATGGCAGCGGAGGACAAACGGCATTTTAGAAAGGGTCAGGCCCTTCAAGAGGACGTGGTGAACCTGAGTGTTCACAGCTTTTCCTTGAGTTGTCTGATACATGTCTGTTTCATCCTTATTTACTACAGACAGATTTCTGACATTGCATCTTGTCCAGTAGAAAGAAGCCAGGGAGACTATGTGGCCTGGAGAAGCCTTGGTAAAGTCTCCAGGGGGTGGAGGGCCTCCAGCCTCTGTTCCTGGAGTGGGTATTACCTTCCACCCTCCCGAGCTTTTTGTTTTAGCAAAACTTCCCTCCCAGCTGAGAAGCTACGGTCTTTGGTGGTTTTAGATGTGTATCCAGACACCCTTCCTTGTTCCTAGAACATATTGTGAAATTTGAAACACTTTTCCAGAAGGAGTAGTGTGCAGAGAGAGAGGGAAGATGGCCTGATGCAGGAGTTAATATCCTACAGTCTGGGCAGACCCCAAAGCCAGCTTTGAAATTAGCCCAACAATGCACACGGACCTTCCTGAAGAAACAAAGCCTTCACATCAAATAAGACTTTGAAGATACTTGTTTTTGAAGTTGGGGTGTTCCACACCCACTTATTTATTGAGCATTTCAGGGTCCATTGTTGAGCTCATATTCTTCTCATTTCCCTTTCTGGAAATTCTATTTTGACTCCTAGAAAACTGTTCTAGTTTGTTCTCCTCCACTTATTTCCTCTTTAAGTACTTGGTCCTGGGGAGAAGCAGGGGGAAAAAAATCCTCTTCTCTCCAGGTAATGTGCCCTTACTTAGGCTATGTGTACAAAAGATAAAATTCTCGTAAAATATATCCTTTACAAGCCCATTAAACACAAATAGTATTTATAGTCTCTTGGTGATAGGGAACACCTGATTTAGTGTCAAATTTTTAGGGAAAACTTAGTAAAGTAGGATTGGGTTGCTGACCTAAGGATGCATGTAAATTAAACCACATCTTTAATAAAGAAGGCCTTCCCTGGTGTCTCAGATGGTAAAGAATCTGCCTGCAATGCGGGAGACCCAGGTTTGATCCCTGGGTCAGGAAGACTCCCTGGAGAAGAGAATGACAACCCCCTCCAGTACTCTTGCCTAGAGAATTCCATGGACAGTGGAGCCTGGTGGGCTACAGTCATGGAGTTGCCAAGTCAGACATGACTGAACGACTAACACCTGAAGAAAGAAAGCTGAGAGTAGTAAGAAATCTGACAATTGACTACTTAGCTCCCAGCACATTGTGGGAACACACTGGAAAGACATCTGTATAATGTACATTATAAAATAGAACTCTCCTAAGGATGTGTCCTGTGGTCACATGTGCTTCCAAGCACTCCATTAGTTGGGTGAGGGCTTGGGTCAGGGTTTCTCAACCTCACACTATTGACATTTTGAGAGGGGATAATTCTTTGTCCTGGGACGGAGGTGGGGAAGGAGCCCTGTCCTGCGCGTTGTAGGATGTTCAGCAGATTCTCCAGTCTCCAGTCCACTAGATCCCACTAACAACTTCCTCCTCCAGTCATGACAACAAAAAATGTCTTCAAATAAGGCCATCTTTTCCCTGGAGGCAAAAACAACCTTGGTGATAACCATTTGGTTAGGGTTAGGTTCCATTTGAGTCAGGATCAGAATTTTTACAATCTTTATCACAAACTATTAAAACTACAAATTTATTACTACATGCTGTCACTTATATGGGGCTTCACAGGTGGCAATGCAGGAATTGCCTGCAATTCCTGCCTGCCAATGCAGGAAACTTAAGAGACACGGGTTCAACCCCTGGGTGGGTGGGGAAGATCCCCTGGAGAAGGAAATGGCAACCCACTCCAGTATTCTTGCCTGGAAAATCCCATGGACAGAGGAACCTGGCAGGCTACAGTCCCTAGGGTCTCACAGAGTGGGATATGACTGCAGGGGCTTAGCATACATGCACACGTCACTAAGTGGAATCTAAAATGTGACATGTTATTTATGAAACAGAAACAGACACACAGTCATAAAGAACAGACTTGTGATTGCCAAGGGGGAGAGGAGGTAGGGTAGGGATGGATTGGAAGTTCGAAATTAGTAGATGCAGACTATTATATATAGATTGGATAAACAACAAAGTCCTGTTGTATAGCACAGGGAACTATATTCAATATCCTGTAATAAACCATAATGGAAAAGAATATGAAAAGTAATATATATATATATATGTGTGTATGTATGTATAACTGAGTCACTTTGTTGTACAGCAGAAATTAACACAACATTGTAAATCAACTATAATAAATTTCTTTAAAAAC